GAGCCTTTTGGAGGCTTCCAAAAGCAGATTTTGAAGGCTTGAAAATTCTTTCTGTGGACCTTGACTGAAAAAGCTTCATTTGTAACATTTTTTTTCCAAATCAAGGGGGGAGTCCTTTGGAAGCTTCCAAAAGAAGATTTTGATGCCTTGAAAATTTTGCAAGTTGACCTTTACTAAAGAAGCTTCATTTGTAACCCCCCAGAAGCAAACTAACCACTTGAAGAATTGCACAAAGGGTGTTAAAGAAAGAGCAACAAGAAGGAAAGAAGACAAGGAAGGACAACAAAACAACCAACTAATATTTGAGCATAAATGGTTGTGCTCATAGAACAATCAATGGAAACAGGTTGGCGGCAGCCCCCCCCAAGCAGCAAACCAATCACCTGAAGAAGAAGTCTTCCTCGCGCAAAGGGTGTCAAAGAAAGAACAACAAGAAGAAAGAAAACAAGGAAAGATAACGCATCAATTTGCTGATAATTGAACATGAATGGTTGTGCTCATAAAACAATGGGAGCGGGGTGGGGGGAAATTAAAACAAAAAAGTAAAGCAAACTTACAAATAGTGAGCCATAGCATACCTCTTTGATGGAATAGCCCAAACCTGAACAATCTGCATTTTCAAAGAATCTTGAAGTCGAGGCGTGGGCCTGGGGAAAGAACCATCATCAACTATCCAGCAAAGGCCTCTGTAGACATACACCGCAAAATAGTGTCCATGCTTATGTGCATCTCCTTGTTGCCATCCTTGGTGACCGGGAGGTTGAAGATGCTTGGCGCTTGCAGGAATTGATAATGTTTGGTCCACTCTCCTTTCTCCATCCTGTAGCGGCCTATCTGAGCCACCCAAAGGCCTTCTCCGTCAAAACTTGACTTCTGCAGTGTTGGCCCAGGTGTTGATGAGCTCTTCAAACTCCTGGGGTCCCTGAGTTTCAGGGCAAACCAAATGCACAGGGAAGGCTTTCCGCTGATGTACTCGCTGTCGATGGTCTACCTGGTAATAGTGAACCATAGTTTGATCTGTTGCTGACAGCTCATTGAGCTCGGACAGAAAATGTGAGGCATCATCCTGTACACTGTCGTCGAATTTTTCCCACAACGGCCTCAAAGTTTTGAGTTGGGTGATGTGTATACCACCCCCTCGTCCATCAAGGTTGTCATGACCGCGTCCGTAGTGTTGCGCCACAGAGCGGATCCGCCCATGACCATGTCCACAAGCGGAATGGTGAATTTGCGCGGATTGCCCAACCGGTACTGGAGATTTTGGAGCACATAGTCCAAGGGTGCTTGGGCTTTGTGCTGAGTGTCAATCTCTGAGTTTCTTCCCTGAGAACCAGGTTCTACATCCATGGGTTCCTCCATAGGTGCTCCTGCTCCTCCACAAAAGGCCGGAAGAGGATCTTCCGAAGGCTGCTGCGCTTCAGTGCTCTGAAGTGGCCATAAACCCCGCTCAAAGGAGAGACTCGCGTCACCAGCCTGATCCTCTGAGCCAAAAACTGCATACATAGGCTCATCTGCGAGTGCAAATGTGCTTGGTATGCCACCCTTGTGCTTGCATGCTTCAGTGCAGGGTTACCCACACTTTCTCCTTTTCACAGCGTTCTCACTGAGTTTGAGCGCAAAGCTTTGTACTTGCTCTGCCGTGGCGTGCATGCCTACGTTGGACATGATGATCATCAGCTTTTCCGCCGAGATCTCATCCGGATCTACAGCTGCCTCCTCAGCCGCTTGCTTGTCTTGTTCAAGCTGTTGATTGTATTGGGCCGTGTTTTCTTGAAGCTCTTTTTGTGCACCCTCGATCTTCGTCTGCAAGTCCTTGAGCTCTTGAAGAAGAGCCGAGTATTGCTGCTTCACTGCATCTGCCTTCGTCTGCAAGGTGGCTTTCCTTTCCGCCAATTGCTTCAAAGTGCCAACCGACTGCTTCAACTTGGATGCAATCGTAGGTTCCTGCTTTTGGTTCGACAATCTTCTCAACTGCGTCCTTGAGGTCCGCCGGGAGGCTGGAGAGGTGTTCCTTCAGCAAGGTCTGAAGGTCTGGTGGTGGTGGTGGTGGGGCATTTGCCTGAAGCCCCATGGCCTCACACTGAGAGCGAAGACTTTCTGGTAAATGGCTCCAGTGTGCCTTTTGCAAGGCGCTTTTCTTCACCTTCTTCCGGCTTTCTTGCCGGGTTGCCCGCCATGAAGTCCCGGGGGTGCTTCTAAAAGTGCCTCCTTGTAAGTTCAAGTGGGTCACCTTGCTCCTGTCTGTGGGAAATTCCATGCCGCCCACTGAGTGTGTCTCTGCCTTTGCCTTCTGAGGTCTTATAGGTTCTGCTGCCAGGCTCTCCCGCAGTGATTGCAGGAAAGTCTTGGCTGTGCTTGCAACCGGTCCTGCCAAATCCAGCTAGCGCGGCAGCCTGTACAGGCAAATATCCTTTTTTCATTTCCTCGTTCAGGTAGGTGCCCTTGTCCTGGAGATAGGGTGCTTGTTCACCTTCTTCCTGGGGAAGTGCGAGGAACGAAAGTGCAGGATGCTATCTCGTTCCTGGCCCTGGCTTCAGGAGACAATGGCTTGAGCCATACATACATACATACATACATATATATTATATTTCTGTGTAAATAGCGGAATGAACCCCTTTTCTTACCCTCCCGCCGAAAGTCTCTGTCGGGTCAACGATACCTGAAGCTGCCATGTGTGGAATCAAAACTGGCAAAAGACTCGAAAGCATGCTGCCTTTCCGACAGGCTCATAGCATTCGGGAGTATGCTTGCTCTCGACCCTCTTCTCATGCAGTCATCTCATCAGCAGCTGGTATACTCATGCATTGAACTTCCGAGTCACACTTGACCCAGGGATGCACGGACCATCGCGCTCCTTCTCATGAGCGTAGTAGGCCACAAGGTAGTTTGCTATGTGGAGACAAGTCACTGCGGCCACTCTGTTTGATCATCCATTGGACGTATTTGACCTTGGATGCCTCATGATGATGACGCCGGCTCACTGCAGAAAACATCTTGCTTGTCAAACTTTCACGCCGACCCCACTCTTCCAAGCTTTTCTTCACTCCTGTGGGGGGAGAACTTGACACACGTGTCGCCTTTCGGACGCGTCGGTCATGGAACCTTGACCACCCAAGCAAAGGCTGGGAGGGAACACATTCCAAGCCGGGCTTGGGAGACCTGTTGTCGAGAAGGTCTCAGCGGAAAAAGGCTGCGGAACATTGAACACACTTGGCTCACTCCCAAGTCATCCAAAAAAAGATGCTAGCTGTTTTGCACCCTGTGTAAGCCCGACTGGTTCTGCATCACACTCCTTGTTTCACTTAATTTTGTCTGCGAGTGTTTCCGGCCTGTCGGGGACATGACTGTTCTTCTTGGCGCTGTTGTTGAATCTTACGACGAAGCTGTTTCTCAGCAGCTTGCAGGCATTTCTTCAGTCGCTATCGTCGGAGGCCTTCTTTCTAGGACATCTCATCTCGATCGTTCCTGTCGCGACTGACATAGCTTAGCTCCACGCGCCCAGCGTGCTACAATACCTTCGCCAAGCAAGGGGCGTCAGGGGTACTCTCTTCCTTCCCGCAAATCCCGATGCGTGAAACCAAGGCTGTAGCCAGCTTATTAGCAAAAGCTGCGTTGCTGCGAAGCAATGGACAGATCTCGCATGTAAATCGGATTGAAAGTCACGCGTCTTGTGGTTTGGTTTGCCACGTGGATAATCTTCAATTGAAGGCAGTGGAAATGATAGGTGAGAAAAGATAGTCAGCTAGTCTGGGCAATCGGATGAGGTCTTACTTGATCTCCCCCAGCTTGTCGACTGTCTCTTTGCTGTGGAAATCTCTTACTTAAAGGCTGCAAATAATATCATCCCCATTTCTCTTCTGGTAGGATTCAGGATCTAGGCTCCACAGCTTCAAGGGCTTTCCCAGAAAAGAGTGTGTATATGTATGCACCTCTGGATGCTTCAGTCAGCATGTCCAGCGTGAGAGTCCTGTTCTTCACCCACTGCTTCCAACATCAGTATTCTCGACCATCGTCTCTGTTTTCTGAGAAAAAACGTCCACCTTCCGAGGTGGATGACGTTGTCGCTGCCATGTGTGAGGACCTTTACCAGAAGGTCAAAAAGTCAAAGGCAATCAACCATGGGTGGAGCCTGCTCTTTCGCAGGTTCCCCTGCCAATAGCGGAATGAACCCTTCTCCTGAAGGGAAGCCTTAGGTTTTTCTTATCGCTCGCGCCGAAAGTCCCTGTTAAGTCAACGATTCCTGAAACTGCAATATCAATTTACACATACATACAGCTTGCCCATCCTTTTTTCCGGTGCCAGTGACTTTACGCTCTAGCCTCTAGGTTTGCCATCGAGCTTACGGCGTTCCCGCTGGTTGCCCCTAAGCCTAGGTGTCATGCGCGCCTTCTGGCCGGACGCTGAAGCTCGCTTCTGCTCCTGAGCATGTGCAAAGACAGCCTTGCAGAACTCATATGCGGTGCGTGCCAGGTACAGTATATACACCGTACACCCGTGTGGACACTGCGCAAAGTCATCCACACGCATTGCTATAAAACAGGCCATTCCTCGTCATCGACGGGAAACCATCAGTGCTTCCCTCCCCATGTGGACATCTCACCCTTTCTTTCATTTTCTTTCTCGCCACTTCACAGCTCTCGTTACTTTATCGTTTCATCGTAGCGCAAGCATACCTTACACCAAAGTAACTCTACTCTACATCCTTCACTCATTTTGCGAGGACTTTACGTTGGCGGCAAGAGAAACTACGAGCTTTTTGTGAATATGAGAACAGCTTGGGGGAGAAATTGATGGCGGCAATCTCTGAAGAGTTGATTGAGAAAATGGTGCGCGGCCGTGGTGCTGGTCGTAGGTCCCCTGAAGAGTCATTGAAACTGTTGATTCAGCTCCGCAGAGCCTTCCCGCAGCTGGGCACGGCAGAGGTCCCGCGCTTCCTCAAAGTGGCTGAAAATATTTGTTACCCACAAGGAAGTTTGCTCACTACTCAGGGAGAGAAGAACGAGTTTCTTTGGTTGCTTTTGTCCGGATCTCTGTCTGTCATCGTCGACTCCCAAATGGTTGCTCAATTGTCAGAGGGCGCCCTGATTGGCGAGGCCGTTCAGAGAACGCAACAAATTGAAACACAGTCAGTACTGAAAGCGCTGATGCCAGCAGTTTGTTGCGTTTTTTCTGCTTTAGCCCGTCGCGGGGTCTCGAAAAGCTCTTTGTGAGGCCACATTCTTAGGCTTTGCTGAGGAAGGTAGAGCCACTGCCACTGTACGTTCAGATGATTCAGAGGCTTGGAACGTTGATTTTCTGGTGGTGAACGGTATGCATCTTTGTTCCTGTAAGACTCTAGTGACTCTAGTGGGATCATGTTCAGGTCATAATCGCACGCAAGTGCTTTGGGATAAGGTTTTTCCCTCATTGTAACACAGGATTTCGGTTTTCTCGCAACTGTTTTGTTCAGGTCAGAGCGTTTTTTTCCCAGGGCCAGTAAAGTATATAAAGTGCATGTTGTTCGTGGCCTGCAGGGCGTCCAGACACTCCGCTGGTCTCAGGCGTGAAGGGCCAGGTTTGCAAAATGAAGTTCTGAAGGTTTGTTCATTTTTTCGGAATTGGCGCATCCATCCATAGTCAAAACCAGATTCAACACGAGGACCTCAAAGATAAACGCCCCTGTGATGCATAGTACTCAGTGCAAGTGCTGTTTTATTTCTAGGTGGAAGACATGTTGCGCACTGCCGTAGATGCAGCACGCTGTCGCTTACATACTATTCGGTCAAGATGTTTCAAGTACCGAAGTGTCGCACCAACAAGCAGTGTGTTTTGGCAACTGGCAAGCTAAGCTATGCATGTTTTGTAAGCAGATTCAGCAGAATCAAGCATATACTCATTGAACATGGTTTGTTTTCTACTGTCTTGGAAGGAAAGCCTGAGAGAACTTCTCAACGAAGACATCGCCCTGCGTGAGAAGTTGGTGCCAGCGATGTCTGAGGAGCTGTTACGTCGTTTGAGTGGAAAAATGACAGAAGCGCAGAGATGGAAAGGCAAGTCTGACTGCTTGACACATGATTGGTGCATGGAGAAATCAAGTGGCAGCGCGTAGCCTCACCAGAGATTAGAGACGCGACCCTGTCAAAGGAAGCGCCGCACTGGGCTTGTGCCGGTTCACAGGGAACTTTCGGCCATCATGTTCAAGCCGCTGCATTGACTATTACAAAAGGGAACAGCCATACAGCAGGGCCAGTTTGCCGATCCTTGTTTGTTTTCTCCATTTTTTGCGCACATGGCCTTTTGCTGCTTAGCTGGCTCAGCTAGCTTGGCTGGCCTGCGGCGGTGGCAAAGGTGCATGAGGTGACGAGATTGTCTGATGGATGAAGGCTCTGCCGTGTGTTGATTTGTCATTTGTCTACAAGTTGCCAAACAGTAGTGTCTACAAGTTGCCAAACAGTAGTGCTCCAGCTAAGCAACTATGCAGCTCGGAACAGACCTCCAATGTTTGCATGATTCGACAGGCCTTGATGATGTTGTGTTGCATGTACAAAGTGCTAGCCTTAGATCTGGGTATGCGCTGCGTGTTTGATCATTTTTGAGCATTAAGGATATTAAGGTTTGTTCGAAGTTGCTGAGGTGGTGGCTCATACAGTCCCATGCAGTTGAATTCCTCGCCGGTGGAGTTTGAGTGTGATAATTTCATTGGAAGGCGCACATGCTAGCAGCGCTGCATTTGTTGAGCACATCGGCCTGGCAGGTGCATGCTTTTGCATAGGCCAGCTTGGAGCTACGATGGAGAGGACTTGGCACATTGCCTGCACAGAAATGGCCTTAAAACTAGACGACACGGTGGCCCCGAAAGCGCAGCAGGAGATGACAGAAGGTATGAGGATTGTAACGATGAATAATAATAACAATAATATGATGATGATGATGATGATGATGATGATAAGGGCTGCGAGTGGTCCAAACGCGTATCGCTTCGACCATGTCGTGGTGATCGAGCACCTTCTGATCCGCCGCTCCTGATCCTCCTCATCTCTCGGACGTCCGACGGCCTGCTGCTCGCGGCTGCGCGCTGGCAGCTGGCTCGACGTGGAGCGCCTCCTGATCTGGTGGCATCCTGACGCCTTTGGACTGGTGGGAGGGGGACTTCTTCGGTTACCTCCTCCGTTCTTCTTTTTCCTGGCAGCGATCAGGGAGTTCGAGATTCTGATCTTGGTAGGTGCTTTGGTACATGACCACTCATCCGGGTCCCAAGCCCCGGACACGTGGGGGGAGTAACTACTTGATTGAGGGGGTCTTCGTTTTGATTTTCACGGCCAGCCAGCTGGGTGTCAAACCCCAACCTCTTTCTGCCCAGGCCCAGGACCATTCCTCTCCACCCACCCCCCCCTCACAGGCGCAACCGATGTCCTGGTTCACAATTCAGGCAGAGCAGATTCTCCGTTTTTTCATGGAACATTGGGCAGCTTAGCGTGGTAAAGTGGGATCTGTTTCGAACATGGCTGCAGGGCCAACACTTGGACTGCATTTGCCTTCAGGACACTGGATGGTCGTTTTCCGGTGAATGGCAGGACAATCATGTTGGAGCCATTGAGCACCGTGGCGGTCTTCTCTGGGCCGTACGCCGGAAATTTTGCAACATTGCCTGGACCACCCCACTGGACAGTCGTATCTCTCATGTGCGGTTGTACATGGGCTCTGTTAATATAGACATCCTGAATGTCTACCAGTATCCACAACATGGAGCTCCCTCTCAACCCACTGAAGAAAGAACCTTGTTCTGGACAGTACTTCAACGGACACTCAATGGATTGCCCCGCAGAAACTGCTGGGTCATTGGAGGTGACTTCAATACGAGCTTGCGCTCACAACCTGGCTCTGTGGGACTCTCCGACTTTGCCGTTGAGGGCTCCCGTAGCCGTGGCACACACCACTCTGACCAACCTGTACTTCAGGAACTGCTCCGTACTTTTTCGTTGACTGCCCTGAACACCTGGACAAGGGAGCTGGGTGCTACGTACTTTGGTCCCAGACAGGTTCAAACTAGAATCGACTTCATCCTTGTTCAACAGCAAGATGGGGATTTTATGGCTAAGCGGGTCACCTATGTTCCTGAACTACCTCAACAAATGGGTCTTAGTCGTGATCATGTACCTCTCCTGGGTGGTATCCAACGGCGCAGGTTCTACACCCCCAAGAACGACTCTGGTCTTACCAAAAATCAGCGGGCAACCCTTTTACATCATTGGGAATCCCAAACTGAGGAATGGACCACTTTGATCAACACGGTAGCCTCGCAACTTCACCACTGGTCTCCTGATCATCCTGATCTGGACGCCTTGAATGAGAAGATGATGCAGGTTTGTCGACACTTTAGTCTAACCGCCTCGCATGCCCAGGAATCCTGGCCATTGAAACCGAGTCACTTACGAACTGGGTGTGGCTTGCAACACTCGGAGTCATGGGACTCCTGTGGGACTGGGCCAGCAGAGCTCAACCCCCTAATTTGCCAACGGCGCAAAAAACTCGAAAAAACAATTACAACAGGGTTCACAAAATCAAAAACATTCAAGCTCCGGTCACGCGCTACTACCGTCTGGTTTGTGGGCAAGCGCGACGGGTAGGGCACGTACGGGTGGCAGGAGCAAAAACACACTATCGACGTCTCTCCAGACGACTCCGCAGCCGACGCCTTCACTTCTGGAGGCAGGGGCACCCACACACGTTACGCCCCCAAAGGCGTAACTCACGGGCGCACGCACAGCAGCACTACATTGCCATACCAAGCAATACGCTGGATGGTGCAATCCACCAGTGCCTCCTCCAATGGCACCACCCGACCCACGGCAGGCAGCGGCCACCCGACCCCGGCGAACAGCCGCCCGAGCATCCCCAAGCTCACACCCGGTGCACCGATACTGCACTCACACAGATCCTGCAAGGCGGCGCAGGCGAAGCACGCAATGAGCACCCCACACCACAAACACTGGATCCTGACATCAAATTGTCACATATCCTGCACGGCGGCGCGGGCGGAGCGCACACCACCCGACGAAAACGTTGGGCCTCACGATCCCCGCAAGCAACCTTGGCAGATACACTCCTGCAAACACTGCAACAATGGCAGGCCTCTACCACCACACAAACACACGGGCCATACACACAGCAGTATTGGCAGCCATCGAAGCGACGGAAGCAACAACCTCACAACACTTCGGATGGCACTCTGGCCGAAACACTGATCTATCTCTTGCGCAACCACAGCTACACAGACGATGACAGCCTCGCAAATGGTATCATCAAAGCAATCCAGCAGCGCCAGCAGGGCACCCATACGGCTGAACACTCCAGCAACAGCAAAGCACAGCCATGGGCACCTGGTCCAAGCTCCACGGGTACTCGATGGGGTCGTTCTTCTCAACGACTAGCACCTTTACAACGCCTCGCGCCCAGCGACTGGAGTCTCAAACCCATCCTGGGAGACGCCTCTGACATCCTCCGACAAATTAAGGATGGCAAACCCATCACGGCCAATGTCACCGAAGTCCAAGATCCCGCCCAGGCCACTGAAATTGCCACTTACTTTTCCACCTTTGGTTGCGCTGGGGGACTGACACTCATCCACACCGGGCAGGCCTACAAAGCAGAGACTTTGACCTACACCAGTTTCAAACTCCAGCGAAAGGGCCGCCCGTTCAAAATCGAAAATGTGGGGTTAAAAGCCTTGGGCACATGGTCTGCGTGCCCTTGGCTCCTGCCCCCCAAACAGTTCTCTTCAACATCAATACCAAAGCCCGATCGAGGCACTCTACGCATTGCGGCTCCAGCTACATATCGCGGCCTCTTCCAAGCCCGTGATAATGCTCATCGAATAATCACTACCATGGCCAACTGGCCCAGCTCAGTCACTACGTCAGCGCTGACCGGAGGACGTTGGACCAAGCAAGTCTATGGCGCAGAAACCATGCTGGTGGGTTTCGTCCCAATGCTAAACGCTGACATCGACAAATTACTCCCTTTCTCCGGAACACACGGCATCTTCTTGAACAAATTAGATCCGGCCGGTGTTCGAAAACCCATTCAGTGGCTCCATCGCCAAGCCCATGAGTCCAGTGAGGCCTACTTCCGCCGCAGTCATACACAGGCTAACAGTGCCAGACAGCCCCTGTTCTTCCGCAAGGGTACATCCACCAGCAATCTTGGCGTCCCTGCTCAAGACGATGCCGTTGAGAAGACCCGTGAACTCCACCTCGATGCCCGCGGAATCCCTATACACTGGGAACGCGAGGAACTCCAGCACTTTCTGACCGAACAGGGTTGGACCGCTATCCGAACATCCCATAAAAAGCCTCGCGGCCGGCACACTGCTGACTGGATGGTCATTGGCAAAGCACCAGCCAATAGCGTTCCTGCCCAAGAAGTCTGGACATATGAAGACAAAGATAACATGATCCATATCAGACTACTCTTGGTACCTTCAAAACCAAGAAAGCCAAATACTTCCCAAGTGCTCAAAGCACCCAGCAATCTTTGGCAACCACCATCTTCGAAAACAGAAGAAAAAGCCGACACAGACCACATGGAGGTCGACTCCGCTAGTCGAGCCAAACGTTCTCGGAGCAAGAGCCCCAGCCCTGGCCAAGCGCCCACACAGATTGACAAAGACGACGAAGATGAACCCAATGGCGAAGCTACAGGCAATTTTGCTACAGCTCCAGCAGCACCAAAGACAGGCACATCACCCCCTCCTCCGACCAGCCGAACAGCACCTGGCAACACTAGACACATTTTGGGTGATCCTGATGACGCCCAAAAAGCAGGATGGCACCACATTGATGAAAAGGGTGACGGCGACTGCTTCTATCGAGCCATCGCCTGCTCACGGCATTGGAATCTGCACGGAGATCCCCTTGACATTCCAGCGGCAAAACGGGAAGCCGCCCAATTGCGAACAGAAATGATTCTACACTGCCATAAGCGCAAAGACCGCTTATCGCAGCACTTCGCACCAGATACCCAAGAGACAGCGCATCAACGCAATGGCAGACCTGCTGCTACTAGCATTGACGAATGGATCACCAATCACAGCGATCCAAAGACATGGGC